ATCTAATCTTCAATAAGAGATCTAAAGAAATATTATGGAAGAAAGACATCCTCTTCAGTAAATGGTGATGGCAAATTTGGTTACTCACTTGAAGAAAACTAAAGCTAGATCCTTATATATCACCCTGTACCACAATAAACTCCAATTGGTTCAAAGACCTCGGAGTCAAAGAAGACACTCTGAAAACATTACAGGAAGGAATAGGAGAAACCCTCGGTCTCCTTGGCACAGTCTGAAATTTTCTGAATATAGACCCAGAAAAATATAAAATCAAAGAAGTGTTGGACAAATGTGATTGCATGAAGTTGAAGATCTTCTTCATGGCAAACGACAATGCTAGCAAGATCAATAGAAACCCCACTGATCGGGAGAAGATCTTCACGAGCCATACCATGGAAAAGGGTCTCATATCTAAAATATACCTGGAACTCAAAAAATTTAATCTCCCAACTAAAATCTTCAAGAAACAACTGCCCAATTAATAAAAGGACTAAAGACTTAAAGAGAGACTTCTCTGAAGATGAAATAAGAATGGTCTTTAGACTCATGAAGAAATGCTCAACTTCTCTTGCCATAAAAGAAATGCAAATAAAGACATCACTGAGATTGCACCTCACCCCAGTTAGAATGGCTATAATCAAGAGCTTATGTTCTGTCCCTATGTTTTATGCTAAAGCTAGCATTCTTCCTTGGGATTTACAACTCAACTTGGGGCTTTTGGCAGTTTACTGGAGATAAGAATCTCACTTTCCTTCTGAGTCTGGCTTCAAACATAACTCCTCAGATTGCAGCCTCATGAATAGCTAGAAATGCATTCACTCTAGAGTCATCAACACCTGACAATGAAATACTCCATAACTTTTGTAGTTGAATGAAATATTTCCCATGATTTTATTAAGTAAGATAATATTTCCCATTAAACAGACAAACACTATTGCCCACAACTATAATAAATATTTGATTCTTAGTTAATTTGTTGTATCCTTTAACTGACAAATCATATTTCTAGATATAACTTTTCATTAACTCACTGGTCTAAAATAAATCTCCTTGATTACATAACACTATCCAATGTGTTTGTATCATCTTCTCATTCTATAGTAGAACTTGAGGTTCCTCAGCTACTGCTTCCATTGGTAAGGACAAAGATCTGAGTAAAAGAACAGATCTGATTTTTTTCTTACTCAAATTAGGACGCACAGCAATCATTCCACTATCATTGGAAATCTAGGGGCTAAATAGATCTTGTTTCAAAATTAAACAGACAGGAAAGTCTTTACCCAAAGGAAGGTAAAATAAGTTCATGCAGATTGGGAACCTACCAGTCTTACTATGTAACCCAGGCTGGTCTAACTATGTGAGTAACCTAGCAACCCAGAAAGGCTTCCTTGTTCATTGGTAAGACCAGCTCACTGACTACTGTAGCAAACTCGCACTTCACAACCTTTCCAGCTCTGGATGGCATGTGGAGACATGCTGTCCAGGAGATGTATTCAGGAAGACAGCTCCCCTGCCCCCACCTCCAGCTGAGTGATTTCACTCCTCTACTAACTCTATTGACTTCCTTTTGGAATGTACTGCTGTTTGAGATGATGTGACAACTTCAAATTGAGGAATACAAAGCATATCTGAGTGACATATATGTGGAAGGGCAACCATGGCATGTTCTCCCACATGGCATCTCAAGTAGAAATACAATTTCAACAGAGAAATTCACAAATTACTGGAAATACTCCAGTTACACTAGAAAATATTCAAGATTATTTTTGTCTTGTGTAGCCACAACTCCCACTGAGTTATAGAAAACCCATGTCTCCTTTAAACATCAAGGCAAGACCTTTTAAATTAATTTGCACATTGTGTCATTACATAACAGTATAGGTTGCTCAAAACTTCTTTAGAGGCAGGTTCTGAGACCTGAAAAGCACTGTCAAACCTCTAGCTCTTCTGCTCTGGGCTCCAGGTGAGGTTGGCAGAAAAGGTTAGTCACAATCTTCACAGCCATTGCTGCTGTTTGATTTGCAGGTTTCTCACACTGATTGATTCAAGTCTTTTTGCTCAATTTTCTGTTATTAAAGTGTCTTCCCTGACAAGTTATAGCTGTCACTAATGCAATATGCCTACATTGGGATGGTCTCAGTACATCTGTGACCATTTGTGAGATATGATTACCATTCCAGGGTCCAATGGAGACATTGTACTGATTCAAACTCCTGCATCTCTGGCCCTGTCTCCTCAAGACATGGCCATCATCATCTGCAGAGCCAGTGAGAATGCTGATAATGAATTTTAGAGAGTTTCATATGGTGTTAACAGAAACCAGGACAGCCTCCAAAACCTCTGAGCTATACAGGATCCAATAGGGAAAGTGGGGTCCCAAACCGGTTCAATGGCAGTGGGTCTGAGACAGATTTCAACTTCACCATAAATCCAGTGGAGGCTAAAGATGCTGAAAATTGCTATGGTCAGAAGAATAACAAGTATCCTCTCACAGTGCTTTGGCTCAAAAAAAATATACTTCAGACAGCTGCTCACTGAGGTTCACTGTCTCAGGTGTTTCTCTTCTACTGAGCACTTCAATCAACTCTTTAAATTTGTTTGTATGAAGTGGTCAAAGTATCAGAAAGAAAATTCAACAACTGGAGTGTGTGTGTGTGTGTGTGTGTGTGTGTGTGTGTGTGTGTGTGTATACAACAAAATCAGATGGATCATTTGGTGTTTTCCTTCCTGAGAACCACTTAGGAATTTCAGACTTTGCACTTTTTTCTAGATGAACAAGGCCCTTGCAAAGAAAAGTATTCTGAATTTTCAGAAATACTTACTCTCAATGTGCTTGATCTTCCCTGCAATCACAATCTCTGCTATGTGGAGGACAAAATTAGGAGGGCCAGAGTTTCAGGACATCCCAGAAAAGTCACAAGATATATTTCTGGAATAAAAGACATGATGGCACATGCCTGGATTCTAATATATGGGAGAAGCATAACAACAGGTGTGTAGCCTGAGACTGGGCTGGAAAATTGTGTGAGACCCAATGAGTGAAAAATAACTTAAACATATAGGGTGGAAGACGTGACTCAAATGATAGAACATCTGTTTGCAATGTCAAGAGTTCAAAATATATTGATATTAATTTAATTACTTCACTACACTAGTAGATGAAAACACATTTCAAAAATAAAAGTCTCTGAATAGACAAAAATCTATCACTCTTCCATATATAGGCTGATATTCCTATATTAATTTGAATTTTGAGTTTACATTAAAAGGCCACTGTACTTGCTCAGAGAACTAAGAAATGTGAGACAGTATTCCTACATTATGTTATTCAGGTATGCCTATGTTCATATCATTCTGTAATCTAGATTCTCAATTCAATCAGAATTAATATACTCTATCCTCACCGTACAGAGGCCATGTCCTCTTTCTATCATACTTTTTGTTCTCATGTTCACCACCTTCTCTCAGCAACTCTCAGCTTCTTTTTACTATTTCATGAGTCCCTCTAATATTGCAGGTAGAATACTTACAGAGAAAATCACATGATCAAGGATAGCCTGGAAGTCATTGTAATATCATATCAAAAAAGAAAGAAACCAAACAGAAAGAAAGGAAGGAAAGAAGTAAGGAAGGAAGAGGGAAAAAGAGAAAATAACATAATGGACTCTATAAAAATAACTGCCTTTCATTAGATTTTATAAAACTGAGTACTTGAGATAAGACCTGGCAAGGACCTTAGTATTTCCATTTATTGGTAAATACTTTTCCATTAAATGTATTATTAAAATTTTTCTTTTGTATAACTTCTCTTTGAACAAGTGCTATTAGATTACGTTAAATTTAAGCCACCTGACAAATATAGGGAAGAATTAAAGTTATTTCTTTGACAATGGAAGGCCTCTGCACTTGAGATATGGTACAGGAAAAATTTATGCGGTAACAGAAATTACTAAAAATATGCACGTTCATTTAAACTAAAATATTTACAAAAGGCTAAAACAAGCAAAGATCCCTTGTTTATATGGTTAAACTTGAAACTGTAAGTCTAAGTAAAAATTGTACCTGGTGACATGGCAAAACACAAAAACAACAAATTTTTGGCTTCTCTGGTAGCAACATGCTTTTGCTTCAGCCCTCCAGCCATCTAACCACAGGACATGTTTACTAAAACCTTGATATAGTTGTTTTCCTTTGCTTTGAAAATTTTCCTATGTAGTAAAATTTTCCTTTACGCAGTAAAGTCAATAAGGAAAGTTGGACTCAGCCTTTTTACCTGCTTGGGAAGAATCACATTTTACTTTGTGTATATGTGTGTTTTAGAAGAGCCTGAAGCATGAATTGTTTGAAAACTTAACAACTTAAATTTCTCTAGCTTTGTCAATGAGATATTAAATGCATAGAGATATTAAACAAGTTAAAAATATCCACAAATTCTATTATTTCCATATTTTCACTTCTCTGCATGTTCTGAATATGAAGCACTCAATTATTACTTTACTCTTCTCCCTTTCAATTGTCATGACATAAAGATTGAAAAACTCAAGAGAAATGATCATTATCCCTGAATGCACCAAGAGATCTGTTCAAAGGACAGTAGACTCACCACAGCTTCTGCTGTACGGGTGAAAAACACTCTCTGGGCTAAACTAAGATATGTGGGCACAGATGAAATATGAGTATTTCCTGAGTTGAGCTGGTCCTATAGCTATTCCCAGCTTTACCCAGCTTTGCTGATTTGCATATGCTCAGAGTACAGCCTACTGGCCCAATGACTTCATAATAGGCTGCTCACACCCTGTGCAGCAGTCAGTCCCAGTCAGCAAACAGCATGGATAGGATGACCCCTGCTCAGCTCCTGGAGCTCCTGCTGCTCTGGATCCCAGGAAGGAAGGACAACACTCCTCCCATCCTGTGTGTTCAGTGTTGCCTGGGTGTTCAGGGAAGGTCTCCTATAATATGACTAACAGCGTGGATATTTGTGTTTATGTTTCCAATGGCAGGTTTCAGATGTGACATCAAGATGACCCAGTCTCCATCCTTCCTGTCTGCATCTCCAGGAGACAGAGTCTCCATCACTTGCCATGCCAGTCAAGGCATTAGCAATGATTTACACTGGTATCAGCAGAAACCACGGAATGCTCCAAAGCTTCTGATCAATTTTGCAAAGAATTTAGTCTTTGGAATTCCATCAAGGTTCAGTGGGAGTCAATCTGGGACAGAGTTCACTCTCACCATCAGCAGCCTGCAGCCTGAGGATTTTGCCACTTATTACTGTCAACAGGATAATAGTTTACCTCTCACAGTGATAAGAGCCATAACAAAAACCTCCCATGGAAGCAGAAGTGAGAGGCTGGGCTGCTCAGCTGCTCCTTTTGGGGCCTCCATCTGCTGATAGAGCCTCTCAGATGTAGCATCACTATGAACACTTTCAAAGGTTATTATTTAAATGTGAAGACTCCTCTTAATCGATGTCCCTTTTCCCGTCCTATATCCCAGAAGCACAAACATGGCCATGCCTATTCTCATATAATGACACCTTTTCTGGTTCACACAGTAAAACAGAAGCCAGACATGAATCTCTAAGAAGAAATTGTTTTAATACAGGACATGAGTCTATTCATTAGGTTCTTTACTGCTAGGTCATCAGAGAAGTGGGAAGGAGAAGTGTGGCATTCTCTGGTTCAGTGAGGCTGTCTGAGGGCTTTTGAGCACATAATCCTGTGATTCTCCACCCTGTGAAAAAGCCAGGGTGAGCAGCTGATGCTCTTACCTGACCCAACTGCCTCTCCAGAGGAATTCTCCAGGCCCCACTTCTGATCATATGTCAGCCTGCTTATATCAAGAATTATACAAGTCTCTCCAGTTCACCAAATATAATCAAAGGATACCTAATGATGAACTCTGCAAGAAACCATAGAAAGAATAGGGATTTTAGCTTCCACACACAATCATAATGATCATAATGATGGATTGAGATAGCTGACTGTCAATTATGGTCACTTTTTGCCAACTCTCAGAAACAGTCCTCCTAAGTGATGGCATTAAAACTCACTTAAATGTCATTGTAATTTGTTTTACCAATCTGGGAAAATGAACTTTTTAAAAAAATAACAAACTTCATTAATTTCTTTGCAGGAAACTATCAAAAGCTGGAAATTGTATGAAACATCACAAGTTGTTCATGATCTTACACAGCAACAAACAACAAATAATTTCTTGACTAGCAAATCAGATGCAAAACCAAATTACAATACCAAAAAAGGAAAATGCATTACTTGGGTTAAGATTTCTTTTCCTTCAATGCGCTAGTGACTCAAAACTGCAATCCTAGCTACTCAGGAGGCTGAGATCTGAGGATTGTGGTTCAAAGCCAGCCTGGGCAGGAAAGCCCTTGAGCCTCTTATCTCCAATAAATCACCAGAAACCGGAAGTGGCACTGTGGCTCAAGTGTGTTTGCCTTGAACTGAAGAGCTGTGGGACATTGCCCAGACCCAGAGTACAAGCCCCACAACCACAAAAAAAAAAAAAAAAGAAACCACAGGAAAGGACAGGACAGGACAGGAAAGGATTGGAAAGGAAAAGAAAGGAAAGGAAAGAAAAGGAAAGGAAAGGTGAAAAGGAAAGGAGAGAACGTAAGAAAAGTTTCAATGCATAAGTATTTTATAAAGAAAACACAGAGATTTATTTCCAGGAAAAATTATTGGGAATGAATAAAAGATCTACGTAGAAACAAGAAGGTTTCAATATATTTATGAAATACTCTATTACCACTGTTTCTTCTGTGCATTATACATTTTGAAAATAGTCATAAAAGTGTCTTCTACCATCAAATCATGTCCACATACTCTGCAGGCAAATTCAGGGTCCTCTTTTCTAGTCTAGGAAACTTTTGGACACAAGGCCTGAGGTTATTCACTGAGTTGAGCCAATCCTGCAGATGTGCCCAGCTCTGCCCAGGCCTTGCTGATTTGCATGTGCCCAGAGCACAGCCCACTGCCCTGAGCACTTCATAGTCTGCTTACACTCTCTGCAGGAGTCAGTCCCAGTCAGCATATACCATGGATATGAAGGCCTTGCTCAGCTTCTGGGGCTCCTGCTGCTCTTGCTCCCAAGTAAGGAAGAACAATGCTGGGATTTACTCAGCCTAGTACAGCAAGGGCCCTCTGGTACTGCAAGGAAGGCCTCTAGTAACATGATTATCAAGGAGGGTATTTGTTTTCTGTTTCCACTGCCAGGTGCCAGATGTGAAATATAAAAATCCAGTCTCTATACTCTCTTTCTACATATCTGGGAAACAGAGTTTCCATGGCTGGCAGGGCCTGTGAGGGCCTTAGCATTTCTTTAGAATGGTCTCAGCAATGATCAGGGCAAGCTGCAAAGCTCCTCATGTATGGTGCAAAGGAATTACTATCCTGGTCCCTTTCAGATTTGAGGACAGTGGATCTGGGGCAGAGTTTACTCTCACCATAAGCAGACTACAACCTGAAGTTTTTCCCACTTATTACTGTCAACAGCATAGTAGCTGCCCACTCACAGTGATACAAGCCATAACATTAAGCTCCCAGGGAAGTAGAGGTAAGAGGCTCCGCTGTCCCAACTGCCCTTCCGGGTGCCTCCACCTGATGCCCAGCTTCTCTGATACATCCAGAATCTGAAGGTCACTTGAAGGTTTTGGTAGAATCATCTCGGCAGAATTCCCTGTACTCTATCTCTCTGTCTACAGCAGTACACACTTGGCAATGCCTCTCCAGATTCAATAGAGCACACAAATCATAAGGGAGGAAACTTTGAGAGTGTTATTTGAGGTTCTTTTGTGAAATTGAGACATGTTAGTTAATTCAAGCAAGTATTGTTTCTTTTTGAATAGAAGAAATTATTAGCCTATAGCCATTCCAAGACTGGCTTATGTTATTGAGTGAAGCTAAACACAGAACTGGAGTATTCTCTGGCGTCCCTCAGACCCAGATCATCTACTTGTGAAACTGGAGGCTTTCTTACCTAGGGCCTTTCTCTGTCTAGAAAACTAGGGGTGAGTACCAATGCTCTCAACTGCTTGTAGATCTTGGCAGGTGATCCTCCATTCCTCCCTTCTGTCCTAGCATCTGCCTGCAGTATTCAGTGCATTGTAATGTAGTCTCTTCTTACTGTCCATGTTCATTCAGACTCATCAGTATTTCCTACAGGAAATACTGGTGGCTTCCACAAGGAAATGATTAGAAGAATCTACAAAGCACAGCAAAACAATAATTACACCAATCTATTCCACACTCCATTCTTTTGTTAGAAATCACCAGGTTGTACACTGGTGGACCAGTTCCTTACTCCTTTTCTTTTTGGTTTGTTTAATTTTGGTTCTGGTCCTTTGGCTTGAACTTAAGGAAAGCCTTCCTTGAGCTGTTTGTGTTCAAAGCTAGAATTCTACCACTTGATCCACAGCTCCACTTCTGGATTTTTACGTGCTTAATTGGATATAATTGTCTCATAGACTTTCCTATTCAGGCTGGCTTCCAACATCAGTCCTCAGCAATTACCCTCATTACTAGGTAGGACTATAGGAATAATCCATTAGTACTTGGCTTCTGACATTTTTATTGTTATTATTAAGGAGTTTACAAAGGACTTACAATTCCATGAGCCAGAAGATGTGTATTTCCTGTTTGAGCTGTCAACTTGACTATTTTTCTGTTTGCACCTACTGCATGTACACTGACTTAACCATGATGCTCTAAGACAAAAGTGAAAATAAAGTTGGAAAACATAAGGGTAAATTTCTGAGCTTAATACTTTCTGGGCTATCCTGAGTGTCTTAAATTGCCATGGAAATTCTAGATTTACTTTTTCTACTTTAAATATTCTTTGAGGGAATATTAATTATGCATTGTTTTATTCTATGTTTCAAACTACAGAAAATTTGAAATAATGTTGTACTCCAATTTATGACTGTGGAAATACTTTTGAATAGCTGTGTCTTCTTTACTCTAAAAGAGTTATTTTTCTATTCACAGTGTTTGCATAGATTCTACTGAGTTATCATTATATCCTATGATTAATTTTAATATTTTAATAAATGTGTAAAAATTTTATAAGCAAATCAAGATACCTGGCTGCATCACTTCTCCAATTAATGTCTTCTTATTACTCTTGCTTTATAGAATTTGGAGGGGAACATCCTGTATAATTGTGTATGTGAGGATATGATAGTAAATATTTCAACATTTAAAACAATCTGATGGGGAAAATGATAAAATATTTCACCACTTATTATGATACTTATTGATTTTTTACATATGCTTCAAACCACTTTGGTATTTTTTCATTATTTCTATCTTCCATAGACACTAATTGCTTTTGAATATCATGAACAGATGTTGACTTTTAGAAGTATTTTAACTAATATACTCAAATTATCTTGATTCTAATCATGTTAGGATTGTAAATTTTACAGATAAACCTATTTTATTAAAGTCAATAGAAGTGGGGCTGATACTCAACTAGTAGAGTACTAGCTGAAGGACAACACCCAGTCACTGAGTTCAAGACCCACTTCCAAGAACAGTAGTAAAAGATACAATCATGGAGCTGGGGGCAGGTGACTCAGTTCTGTAATCTAAGCTAATCAGGATGCTGAGACTTAAGGATCAAAGTTCAAAGCCAGCACAGGCAGGAAAATCCAGAAGACCCTTATCTCCAATCAACCAGCAAAAAGAAAGTGGTAGAGTGCTTGCCTTGAGCTGAAGAGCTGAAGAGCATAGGGACAGTGCCCAGTCCAAGTGTTCAAGACACTAACAAAAATAATACAATCATGTAATTTTAAAAGAACTTTCCAATTTAACTTCCTCAAAATATTGTCCTTGAGAGAAGGAGGAGGGAGAATGTGGGAAGGAGGATTAGGAGTAAGAGGTAGAGGAGAGCAGCATGAAATTCTCCCTTTCCTAAGAGAAATTTTGACAATGTGCGGAGGAGACCATTGGCTGAAAAATTTGAGTATGTATGATCAAAGGTCAGAGGTAGTTCTTGTAAGCTGGAGATTGGAAGACATGTGAAACATTGACAAACAGGACTGTAACCAAACATTGCTATAGGTGGTGTCATGAAACTCACACAAATATACCGTGAAGCTGGTAAAATTGGTAGTACTGGGGTTTGAACCTCAAGGTCTTTGATCCATTTGGAGTGGATTCTGTTTCAGGGTGATATATAAGGATTAAAATTCAGTTTTCATGTTTCTACACATGTATAGCCAATTCTCTCAGCACCATTTATTGAAGAGATTGTCATTCCTTCAACCTTTGTCTTTGGCTACCTTACTCAAGATTAGGTGGCCATGGGCCTGTGAGTTCCTTTCTGGGTTTTCAATTTTATTCCATTGTTCTACAAGCCTATTTATGTGCC